CCCAGAGAAGCCTGCAGAGAGAGGGCGCACCCCCCCCGGAGCTCTGGAGGCCGGCCTGCGGCTCCCTGGGGTGGGTCTCCTTCTGCTTTCCCCCCCCTCCCGGCCCTTTGCCTGCGGCCCTGAGGTGCTGTGGTCAACGTGCTTCCACCTGCAGGCAACCAACCATACTTGTTTGTGGCCCCCAAAAGGTCCTGTGCTTAAAAGCTCTGCTGAGGTCTTGCAGACTCAGGGCTGTGGTTTCCTTTATTGAGTCAGTCCATCTCCTGTCTGCTCTTCCTCTTTTCCTACTGCTCTGTCTTCTTGCCCCTTATTACCTCTTCTTCCTCTGTTATACCACCCTCTCTTTTTAGCTCATGGTTACTTGGGACAGACCAAAAATGCACTTCTGCCGAGCTCTTTCCTCTCTTGACCCCCTTCTGGTCTCCCAGGGATCCCCCTGACTCTTTCCTCTCCCTCAGTCTGTTTGACACTGACCGAGCAGCCGCACTCCAGGGTTTGAAGCTGGGGTGGCAGCAGATGAACCCAGAGGCGGCTGCGCTCCTCGCTTGCGCCTGGCCCCTCCGCTGCCTCTGTCAGAGGAGGAGAAGCCTCCTTCCCTCCTCACAGACGGTCTGCTCCGACTGGTGGGGGGGGGTCCAAGACCCCAGCCGCACTGGGGGAGAGAGTCGGGAGGGGCTTACGGGGGCCTGGTGGGAACTGCAGGGGCTGGACAGCATGGGTGGGAAGGGGGTCTTTTGCCTCCTCCTGTGAGGCCCAGAAGGTTGGGGGGCTGAGGTGGCAGGACGGGTGTGCCCGCTTCGCCCCCTTGCGCTTGGGGCCCTCACTGGCTCAAGTGGGGAATCTGTCGAGGCACATCCTCCGCGTCTGACATCATTGAAAGTGGTGTTTCCGTGGCCCCAGGGCTGTGAGAGCCGCTCGGAGACTCCACGGGTCTTGCCCTGCCCTGCCAGTCTTGTGCCCTTGCGCCCAGGCGGTGCGTTCCACTTCTCCAGCTGCTGACCCGTCCTCATGCCCTTTCTTGGCACTGCGGTTCCCACAGGGCAAAGGGCGTGTCCGCCGAGGAACCCACCCGGGCCCCACGTCACCGGCTGCCACTCGGCTGCCGTCCTTGTCCGACGCCCCCGAAGAGGCCCCGAGCGGCGAGGGAGCCCCGGAGGCGGAGGTGACTGAGCAGCAGCAGGCCGCCATGCAACAGGAGGAGAGGGTGTTGACCGAGCAGATTGAGAGCCTGCAGAAGGAGAAGTGAGTCGGGGCAGGGAAGGGCGAGGGGGGGGGCTTCAGCACGGCGGATCCTCGTCTTCTCATCCCCAGCCAGCCTCGGACAAGCCTCAGAGCCGGATGCTCTGCCCTGGGGTGGGCCTGGGCGTGAAACCTCCCTGGAGTCCCTCCCGACTGCACCTCCTCGGCTGCGGGTCTTTGGGTCCGTTTTTCCAACGTGCCCGTTAGTTCCTGACCGTTGCGTTGTGCCCGGATTCCTCCTCCCTCCCTCCCTCCTGGGTGGCCCAAGTACACCATCGCTCCCAGGTTCCTTGCCCGTTCTGCTGGTTTCTCTCCTGCTGTTCATACGTGTTTGTTTTTTGCTTTTGTCCTTCAGGGAAGAGTTAACTTTTGAGATGCTGGCGCTGGAGCCACGAGCCTCGGACGACGAGACTCTGGAGTCGGAGGCTTCAATCGGCACGGCCGACAGCTCTGAGAACCTCAACTTTGACTCGGAAGGCACCGTCTCCGACCGATCAGGCAAGTCAACGCCGCGTTTCCTGCCTTGGTCGCGATTTCAATAGTGGGATTGATCCAGCCGTCACTTTGAGCAGTGACCACTGCTTCTCTAAGAGTGGGTCCCTGAGTGGGGTCCCCTGGTGAATGGGAAACGCCCAAGGCGAGGAGGTTGCGTTCCTCGTCTCCCAGAGGGGAGCCACTCGGACGCCTGCGTGTCACGCTTCTAATGTTCATTGCGCAAAGGCGGCCCAGGGAGAGGAGCCGCTCCGGCCCAGGTTGCAGCTTCCGCGTCGAAAGTGCCAGAAATGCTGACGGTCTTGTGGGAGAAACATGCCTTCTGTTGTCTTCTCTCTCCCACCGGGTGAAGTTGAGTGGCAGAGGGCAGAGGCCCCACCACAGCGCCGGGAGAGGTCTGTGCGGGGAAGGTGGCCTCCCCCTCAGGGCCGAAAGGGTTTTTCCTTCATAGGAAATGGCTTGTTTAAACAGAGCGAAGTGCTGGATAACGTGCACTTTGGGAACGCATTCTGGCTGCTCTGCTGCTCACACTTTCAGGGAATGCTACTCTTGACTCGTGGGGTTATACCTCAAGCTGTGTCCCTAAGCTTCTCTCCTCTCCCCTCCTCTTCTTCCATCAGACCGAAGTTTAGCCCTCGGCCTGGCCAGGGCCATCAGGGTGGAGGCTCCCATCACCGCCAGATCGCGTCGGCAGCTGAGGAAGCAGCCAGACTCGGTGGACTCGGTGGACTCTTCTGTCTCCTCTCCCGCCCTGTCCCCTTCCTCCTCCTCCTCTTCCTCCTCCTGCCTGCCTCACGTCACTAGGAAACGCTTCCAGATCTACTCCAAGTCCCCCTTCTACCGAGCCAGTCCCTCCGGGGCCGAGATGGCGCCAGAACAGCCACCGGGGCCCACGAAAGGCTTGGACGACTGGCCCCAGTTCACCACCCGGGGGACCTTCAATCCCGAGAAAGGGAAGCAGAAGCTAAAGAATGTGAAAAACTCTTCCCCCAAAGCCAAAGCCGGGGGGCTCCCAGAGGGGGCGGCCGGGCCGGGCTGGAAGAGGCCCTCGGAGGCTGCCGACGGCCCAGCCGCTCAGCCGCTGGTGCTTCTGGGCAATCAGGAGTTCATGGTGTGAGCCGCGCCGTCGCCGCAAAGGGAAGCATCATCGCCTCCTCACCATTGCCGGACCTCCACCGCCATCCCGTCCAGCTTCTCCCTCTCCCTCGTCGCTTGGCGTCCCAACCTTGTGTTGCTGGTGCGGAAAAGGGGAGGCAGGCGGTGGAACTGAAACCAGGGGTAGGAGGTTTCCTTGGACCTCAGATGTCCTTAACTCTTGGGACTCGGCCTGTCGGGCTGGGGACTGGAAGGGACGCGGGAAACCCATGGAGGGGACGGGGGCCAGTGACTCGGGTGGAAGCGCTCCGTCCGCCCCCGACTGTGTCTTTCATGAGAGAACGGACAGGGTGGCAGGCGGAGGAGTTCGGGCGGCAGGCTGTCAACCTGGGGGTCGGAGCCGCTGTTGGAGAGGTTGGGGGCGTCTGCCTTCCGATGGCGACGCCTGGGTCTTCGTGGGAGGAAGGAAGCCAAGCTCTTGGTTTGGAAAGAGGGGCGACACCCTCCTCCGTCGTCTCGTCCGGTGGTGTCAAAACGCTGCTCTCCACTCAACCCCTTCCTAGACCGGCCCCCGGGTGCCTGCCGGTGGGGAAAAAAATGACCAATTTTGGGCGCTCGGTTCCCAGGGGTTTTTGTTTTCGTATTTTTGGTTTAGGGGTTGTTTCAATCAACCGATGCCGGTTGGATTCCAGGTAGGTCAGAGCCCAAGGCATGTGCCGAAATTCCAGGAGCCGTGGCTGCCACCCGGCCCGCGGCCTCGAGCGAAAGGAGAGTCAGGCGGGAGGGGCTGTCGCCCTTCTGGCTGAGCCCCCCCCCCCGACACACACCTCCTTGAGCCCAGCAGGGAGCCTTGTGGGGAGAGTCAAAGGGAGGGGGCGGAGGTCCTAAGGAAGGGGTCAGGGTCCTAATCGCTCTGGAAAGAACATCCCTTTCTTGGCTGACAGCAGTATTAAACAAAGGCGCAAGAAAATGAAGAGATTTAGTATTAGGGTTGCTGGTTAAATGTAAATAAAATGTCTTCTGGATTTCTTAAACTTTTCTTTTCCACCATGTTGGACTTTTTTTTTAATGTGGCACATTGAAGCCAGGAAGGTAAAGGGAGGGGAGACTGTGAGGGCCCGCTTATCCTGCCCCTTTCCTGGATCTGGACCATTCAGGAATCCGTCTTGCCATTTCCGTGGCTGCAAAGGTGTGGGAGAAGCCCCTCCTTCATCACTTAAGCCATCAGGTTGATTTCCTTTTTTTTTAAAAGCGGCTCTTCTGGAAGCTCCCACCTGGCGGCACCACCATCGCTCTGGTGTGGCTGCAGGACCGGAAGAGGGGCTCGCTTGGGCTGCCAGATGGCTCTCGGTCATGACCTCTGCCCCGTGACCAGGCGGGGGCCGTGGGCCAGTCACTGGCTGCTGAGGCCATCAGACACCAAGCTCCCCCAGGGAGATTTGCTGCCCCCCCGCCTGCCGTTTGGCTGATGGAGAAGTAGCGGAAGACTTAACAGGTGAGCGGGGTGGGGTGGGGACAGCCCTTCTCAGCCGAGCCAGGCAGCTAGAGCGTGCACCCTCTGGAGAGCACAGAGTCCCCCACGGAGCCACCATCTCCAGGAGGCCTTGGCAGGGGGGGAGGCGTGGCTGAGTTGCAGTTGGGGGGGGCACATTTTTTTTAAAAGCCTTGTTTTTTCCAAACCTTCAGCTTTATAATTGGAGGCATGGCATTAAAGAGGCCTCCTTAGAGAAGGCAAAGCTTTCAGTGGCCGGCCATGGTGGGCAGGGGGACCCATCAGCCAGAAACACCACCACCCCCCCGGGCGCCTGTCCGAGGTGCCTCTGGCCGTGCTGCTTCTCCGGCTCTCCACTCGGGCCCTTTCCTTGGGGAGCACAGTCTTGGCACCCTTGCCTTTGCAAGGACGGGGTGGGGGTAGGGGGTGCATGTCTTTCCATTTGTCTTTTTCCATGCACGGTCGCTTTGCCCAGCTTTGGCGCCCCAGGCAGTTTTCAGACCTCACAAGGATTTGATGCTTCTCTAGAGAAGCGCCTCTTTGCTCCCGGCAACGGCCAGGGAGAAGCCCTGCTTTGGACTCCTGCACCGAGGGCGCCCCAGCCGGTGTGGATCCCGGGCGTGAGAGTCCAAAGCAAGGATGGCAGGCCCCTTCTCCTTGGGGCAGTGCGCCTGGCCTCCCCCGCCCGCAGTCGGCTCCCTTCTGGGTTCAGAGCCGGGAGGGGGGTTGTTACTCTCAGAAGCTCTGGCAAAAGAGGCAGGGGCTTCCTGCATGGGGATGGATCGTGGCCAGGCCCCCTTCTCCCTTTGTGCTTTGTTGCCCCCTCGGCGGCACCTGTCTCTCTTTCACACACACTCCAATCCCCATACAGCAGCCACTCCCTTTTCTTCAAGTGCAAAGCCCTTCTGTCAGCCTTGGCCTCTGGGAGGGAGGGGGGGCCCATTGGTTTCATGTGAACCCAAATAGTTCTCAGACGGCTTCTGGAAGTCTTTTTAGGGGGGAAAAATATTTCCTAGCCAAGTTTGTCCCCGAGGCCTGTCTTCCAGAATGACTGTTCCCCCCCCCACACACACACACCCATCTTTCCCCACTTTGTGGTATTTAAGTGAATGTACTCACCACTAGGAAGAAGGACCGGCGGCTACATATAGTTATTTTTAATGGAATTTTTAAAAATAATTTATAAGCATACTGAGTGTAAATTTTAAAAGCAGACTATTGTAAAAGGATATATTGTCCAACGTCTTACTCTAAAAATGTTACCTGTTTAAAAAAGACTGTAAAGGAAAATGCTTTATTCTGCTCACCAAACGGGGGGACTTGCAGGCAGCCGGACCCTGGCCAGTTCTCCGTGTCTGGAAGTTTCTTTAATTTTTTTTAAAATTAATGTTATTTTTGTTTCACTTTTCTGGAACAAGGCCGTCATATTTAAAGTGCAATTTGTGTAATATTTCGTAAATATGATATTATATGGCTGTACAAAAAGAACGTTATGAACAAATAACCCCCAGCTCATTAAAGAACAAAGCCATGGAAAAACAAGAGTGATGGTGGCCGCTTCCTTCTGTCCTTGGTGGCTTGGCTGCCTCTCCCTTTGGGGGAGGGCCGCTCATGTTGGGGGGGGGGGCAGAGGGACAGAGGAGACAACACACACACACACAAAGCCCAAGGCCATGGGCCCAAGGCTTGTCCACCACCCCAGGCATGGGGGGAGGAAGTGAGTGGGGATTGAACCTTCAGCAAATCAGTGCAAAGCCATTGCCTCTGGGGCTGCTTCAGAACATCTGGCCAGAAAGGGGGGAAACGATGATACTTGTTAATGGCCCTCTCACTCGCCTGCCCTCCCATCCCCATGGGACAGGGCACATGACCCTTCCCAGCATCTGTGGGTGGGTTTTGCAGAATGTGTGATGATCAGTGAGGCTGGAACTGGAGGGCTCTGTCCCTTTTGTTGGCCGGATAGCTCCAGAAGAAGAAACGGCACAGCCATGGGATCTGGTCCATAGAGCTTGCAAAGTCACTTTTTAAAAGTAGCTATTTACTGGCGAACTTCTAAGCCCCCTAGGTACTCAGCTGCTGCTACAGCAGAAGTATTTTAAAAGTAACTAGTTACTTCCCAGTTTATGGGAATGAGTGCCTCAGAAAGAAGCTGCTCCTCTCCCACCCACCCCCAGCAAACTACCAAGCTGGAGAATAGCTGATAAGCATCTCTCGGCTGGTGCCCCTACAAAATGCCACCAGCATCTGGCTCTCCTCTGCAGCTGCTGGAATCCCAAGCTCATTCTCCAGTGGGCAGCAGTTCTCATCTGCTCAAAGAAATCCCATCCGGGAACGCAGCAGCAAGAAAGCACAGGGGGACCCGCCTGCAGAGAGCTGGAGGGCCCGAGTCTTTGACAACCAAGCCCTGCCCCCTTCACCTTATCTCTAGCTGAGCCAAATCCTGGGAGCAGCCCCCCCCCTGAAGGGGGAGGGAAAGGGCTGCCGATCCTGCCTCTGCTCCCAAGCGGCCTTTCAGGCCAAGGTTCCCAAAGGGAGAGGCCACCCCAGAGCCTCAGAGGGACTCCAAAGAACGCGTCAGTTTTTGAACATGTCACAGAGCAGCTTCTCCATGGGAGTGTTTCCGATGGTCCTGCGGAAAAAAAGCAGCTCGATGCGTTCGGAAGAGATAAACTTCAGCGAAGGAAGGAGCAGCAAGAGCTTTCCGAACCTGGAGGGAGGAGACGGCGCATAAATTGGTTTGGATGACTCTCTTTGGAGCAAAATGAGAACGCGCATTCCTCCCCCCCGCCTGCCCCCGGGGGGGTGTCTTTCAGCCCATGGATGCACACAGACCGGGTGCCCCATTGGAAAGTTTTAAGGATCCCTTTTCAACTTTGAAAATGTCCAATGAAAATAAATGTTTTTAAAAAGAGTATACAGGTAGATATCATTATAAACAAGGAGCACAAACATTAGGAAGACAGAAGGCAGGAGGTGCAGAACAACTCTTGGAAACAGCTCAAACCAAGTGTGGAGCGGAAGCAGAAAATTAAGGAAGCACAGCTGGCAAAGCTACCTTCTACCCACCTGGGGAACAAACCACCACCACCACCAGACACAGGACTGCATATACCTGACAGGCTGGTTCGGATAATGTATCTGGTTATGTTGTCCCAGCATCACTTGGGACTGATCCTGCAAATTCTCCACTTGATCTGGGTCTTTCAGGCCTCGTGTTTCTGCAAATCAAACCACCAGAATGAATTCCGCACTGAGAGTCGGGTGTCCCAGAGGGAGAAGCGGCTGGACTTTAGAAGTGCCCAGGAGGTCATGAGTGAAAGGAGATGAAATCTGGAACTATATGGGACTGTGTTTTCCTTCTTAAATCTATTTGGTTGATTCATAATATAAACAAGGATTCAAGATTTTGGACTAAGACTGCTTGATTTAATATATGTTATTTTTAAAAGGTCTCAAAATTTCAGAAATAAGTAGCCTTGGAACGTCATCGGGAAGAAGGTTTCAAGAGGTTCTAAATTTATAACCGGGTTTATATATTTTTATTTGATAAGTAAGGTGGGGTTATATAAAGAACAAGTGAGCAAATCCACGCTAAAGCAGTTTTAGAGGAGGCCACCATGTGAGTCAGTGCAAGCAGATCAGGCAAAATCCAAAGAAACAAAAAAACAAGACAAAACCATGTGGCACCTTAAAGGGGGCCACATTTTTTTTGTCTTTTGTCTTGTTTTGCTGCTTTGGACACTCCTCTAAAGCAGTTAAAACTGCAGCGAGGGCCTTTGCCCCATCTGCATGCCCTGGACAGTGGGAGCCCGGCTTCCCTTGCCCTGGTGCTGAACTTGGCGTTGACGCTCAGAAAACGCCACCGGCCCATCCTCCAGCATTCAGCTCACCTGGTTTGAAGAGCACGATGGCTTTCATGCAGGCAAACTCAGTGGGGTCGACAAGCAGGGCCTTGAAGCGCACTATGATTTCCTGCAGGGCCCGCAGGTCCACTCCGCCGGACGCTGGCTTCCCAGGGAGGGTGGGGGCCAGCTCTGACACAGAAAGGAGAGGGCAGCTTTCTAGCGGCAAAGACCACTGGATGGCACAAAGCAAGAACAGCTCGCTCCAGGCTTCCTCCAGGAGGATCACCTGTGGATGAGAAGGGGAGGGGGGAACCCGGCCCCTGCTCAGTGACTCGGGAGCAGCTGGTCACGACAGGCCCGATTGCTGAAATAAGGCTCAGGGTTACAGAAAGCCCCTCGGGACCGCTCTTATTTCCACTGCTACTATGCTGGTTTCCCTGAGCCCTTCCTGACAGTTTGGGACTCACCTGGTCTCTGAAGGGCAGGTTGGAGAAGACCGGTAAGTTCTTTGCCCATTTCACAGCCATGAAGAGGAGTCGGGCAGAGGTTTCGTAGACGCTCTCAGGGCTGGCGGCGGAGGACGGAGACACCCGAGCCCCACCAGCTGGCCGTTCAGGCTCATTGGTGGTGACATCAATGTTCTCATCAACTGCAAAAGGCAATCATCCCTCAGTGAAGGCATGAGGCCCTAAATGAGCCTGGTCAAAGGAGCATGGCTACAGCCCAAGAGTATCGGGAAAAGCTCTTCCATTTTGGTGCTGGTAGCTGCTTTCTTTTCTTGGCTATCTTGGTCAGAGAGCAAAATAATACAACCAGGTGCCTTACAGATCATATAGGCAAAGGTTAAAAAACATGATATACTGCAAAGTCACCCTGCCACAAGCAATTAGTGGCTCTTGTTTTAAAATCTGGCCCCTCCCATCAAATGCTGGAGAGGACAGAGATGTTTTAAACATCTTCCCTCTCTTTTGCAAAATGAAGAAGTTCTTAATATTGTACATTTCTTTGGTCAATTTCACTTTGGGACGGAGAAGGGAACCCTTCCCCTCCTTTTTCTCTCAGCAGGCTCCTAGATGTTTACTGTCATGTCAGATTATTGCTATCCCCCTTGAAAAAGAAAATTGAAAACAAGCCTACAGCAGAAGAAGCAAAACAAACCCCACAATTCTGGGACAAAAAAAAAATCCCCCTTCCCCGTGCGTTGTGTAGTTGGGGTTCTTAAAATCGATTTTATTTACACAAAGCCCAATTCAGCCATGGCTCTTCTTGTCAGCCTGTGACCAAGCCATGGTTCAGTGTCTTCTTCTTCAGACTTTTTAGCGGCCCTTCATTCATCTGGGCGCCCTCCTGTAAGCTCTGCTCAGGGATGGTCCCGAGCAAGCTGGCTCGGAGACCGCGGGACCGAGGGCAGCCTTCAGGCTTGGTTGGCTTGCCGGCTCGTTGGTTGCAGAACCCCGAGATCTCCCAGAAGCCACAAAAGGTGGTCTCAAAGACGTCCAGCTGGCGGGACGGCAGAGATTCTGGGCCCCCTCAGGCCTCCGCCCAGACCCCTAAAATGGCACTGCGTCGACTCTCCTCCTTACAAAAGAGCTCCCTTGGTTCGCCTCCCAGTCGCCGCGGCCCTGCCTTTCCACCCACCTAGAAGACAAGGAGGCCCTCGGCTCGGCTCCTGCCCTCCCCT